CTTGCATCTTTTGTAACACTCATAAATAAGATCGTTTAGAAGTCTCATGCCTAGCGTGGCAATCCAACTGGTTGGGTCCAAACTTAACATCACCTCCAAACAAACAAATTGTGGCGTTTCAGTTCCATGCTGAATAGGCTTGGGTAGAACTAATCGTAGAAAAGCTGGTTCAAAGGGAGAAGGTGTTCGAGCTACACTTGTACACAATACCACCAGATATAACTTGGTGAAGTGGTAAACAGAACTTCTATCAAACATAAAGGAAGAAAATATTCTTATCAATCCGCTGAACAGAAATTTAACTAGAATAAGTAAAATAAAAGTGTGCTAATAGGTTGATCCTAACACCTCTTCCACGTATCTTTAGGGCTACTGCATCTTTTGTTGAAATTATATTCAAAAGATTTATAATGTGATTCAGCGGTCCTAATTTCAGACTTATGAAGTACCAATTTTGTATTTTGGTTCTGTGCATTGTAGAGCTAAAAAAGGTGGTCCTTTAGTTTAGTGATTCATATCTTATTTATATGTCCTTAGTGATTAAACTTTTTGAACACTCATAATTATTCAATGTCTCCTTTTAAGATGTTACAAGCACTTAGTAATAATAATAAGAATAACATATCGAATAATTATTATATCAAATCAGCTGTTTCTTTCTTTCGGTCTTTCTCCTTTCTAGGTCTCATTGTCATTACTATATTTCAGCTTCTGTCATTGTTGAAGAATTTGGAGGTAAAGAGGAATATGGACCTCTATTGATCAGGACGTTTGAACGATTTACCTCTTCAGCCTCAGTAATGGCTCTTACTTCATCATATATCTGCGATCAAGAACCTGATCTGGTTGAGGCCTACACAAATTTTGCATCTGCATATATGCGCAGTTGTCGAAAGGTGCTCCTATTTTGTTTTGCTACAATCTTTTAATTATTAATGGATTATGCTGCGAGAGAATGATTTAATCAAGATTTTGTAAGGTGAATGTTGTACTCTTATCATGCATGTTTCATATTCTGATCTCTTAATGTGTGTAACGGAATCGATGCTAATTTACATTTCAGGAAGTATTAGCTGCTTCTGGTTCTCCTTTTGAACTATCCTTACAGAAGGCAGGAATTTGTTGTACAGCTTTGCATCGGGGTGCTGCTCTATCAGCCTTGTCATATATGACCTGTAAGCTTTGTTAAAAGGACATGACATGTGCCTTTATGTTTCTTCATTTCTGGAATTGTGGCTTCCTCTACCATACGCCTCTACTATGTGGATACAACTGTACAGAATTCTGAATTTTCTCCAAATGGGAATCAGCAATTCTGATGTATTTTCTCCTGTCGGATCAGTTTTAAATTAATATCAACTTTTAGTAATGATTTTAGGTATAATTCAACATAGAACCATAACTGTCAACATATCTGTTCAATAATCCATTAACATACTTAATTTGCGAGAATGGCATTATTAGGTTGATTATGTGGTTTGTTATGTAAATTTTCAGAGGTAAATTCTGAAGATATATCCATTAGGTAAATTTTGATATAGATATTTCTTTAAAATACATATTCTGATTCTGTTAGGTAATAAATCATTAAAATGCGATAATAATTGGATAACAAATAACATATATTTTTTCTTTATTTTTATTTATATATTCATTTGAATGTGTATTGTAGATTGTGAAAAGACGATTGATTTTATGTATAATGCATCAAATTGGATGAATAACAACTAAGTTATGGGTGAAATATGATTTAAACATAAACTATATATAAAGAGATGAAAAACATGTCCTTATGAAAAATAAGAAAAAAGTTAATGTTCCTATCACAAAAACTGAAAATAAATTTGGACCTCTAAAAATTCCCCCATGATTTTATGCATGTACATGTCATATTAATCCATAAGTTTGATATCTAATTATTGCATAAATTCAATTTTATGACTCATTAAATCTATTGCATGATAAAAGTACAAGTACATAGATTATTGATCTAGTCATGCATCACACGAGTTCGTATATTGAAGTTAATATATGCTCACTCCACCTATATATACGATGCTGGGCTTTAAGAAAAGTAGATCTACATGTAGTTAGGTCTTATTAGTTAGTGCAATACTGAGAAGGATCAGATTAAATCATTCAGAGATAGGGTGCTTGGATCCATTTCACCTTTGGGAGGTTTCAGTTTTTGTCAAGATGTGTGTACGTACCTCTTTCCTGGATTTGATCATTTTTTGTTATTACTTTTAATGACTTATGTTAACTTGCGAAACAATGCCTTTTGTTTTCAATAATGGTTGTGAATACTTTGTCCTGGTAAATATAGCAAATCAGAAAAT